AACTAAAAACATGATTTCAAGCAACGGTAGGCCTAAAGAGAGCGTTGAAAGTGCTCCCAACAAAAAGGTACACAAGTGCCACAATTCCGGAGCATTAATAGAATATTCACCAGTTAAATACAAGTAAAAAAACAGGAAAGAGCCTTGTATTCGTCTAAAATGTTTTTGCATGGCCGGCTCAACTGATGTTCCCTTTCTGACTTGAATAATTCATCAGAACTTCATGATCTTTTGATTTCGACTTCTTAGTTCCAGCGGTGACTGATGATCCTGCACTGCCATCGATTACTGCTCAAAGATGAAACGTGTCTAATAAAGAATATGAGGATCTTCTTGTTTAGTATACGCTTTTTGGAATGGTCCGACTGCTTGGCATCGACTTCTCTCCACTAAGTGAGCCATGGGATAGGAAACTGGAGAGCCTGGGTGTCGCGATACTGTCTGGGATGTTCTTCCCAATGATTGCAGTGTGCACGGTTCTGCCATTTATTCTGGTAAATTGGCACTTTCCATATTGCTGCAGTTCCTATCCAGAAGCGATGATGACTGCAAACTACTCCATATAAACTTCAAACCAATTTTTTTTGTTTCGTTATTTCGCATATGCATCTCTACCTTTCAGCTCTTGACTGGTCATTGGTACATAGTAGTCCTCTATATTTTGTGGTATTTGTATGACCGAAAATCACATGAAAATGGCGGCTACGAAAACACTTGGTTGCGAGGGTTTGTTCGATCCTCTACCACCTGCAAGCTAATGTCCATTATAATACGTTATTCAGGTGCAAGTACAACCAGTGGGTCATGGACTACTTCCAGTCGGACGTTCATGTCACCACTTACTTGCCAGCTGATCGAGTGAGTTCACGTTAGACTCCTTGAAGCAGCCAGGTGTAAAGCACTGATGAGCTGGGCCTAGTTTATAATTTAAATCCTGTGCAGTCCCAAAATATGTATTGGTTTTCTTTCCAATTCTATAGTTTCTGTGGTGTTTTTTTCAGAATTATCTCATGGCTGCGCACCCTCATGGCGTAATTTGTTTCGGACTATACGCTGCTTTCGTGAGAGAGTTCGAAGGCTGTGAACGTAGAAATGTAAGTGTAAAATGTACACAGTAGTCCGCAATGTACCGTATGAGGCCGCAGAACTAGTTTCACTCGTGATGCTGCGAGTGATGACCATGACCATGCGAAAAACCATATTTGACTCCACCTCAGCCTCTGCGGAATTTCGCATGTGGCATATGGAATTCCAAATAGTTTAGTGGGCCAACTCAAACTCTTGCATAATGCTAGATGGACACTAAAAGCATTTTGAAAGGGCTGACGGAACCTATTTTATACTTTGTCGCGCGATAAACAAATGGTTTTATAGTTCGGCCATCTTCGCCTTCGTGCATGCGTGTTGAACTCGAACTTTCACCTCATGCTCAGGTAAAGGATCGCCTAAAACCATAAATCGCGTAGACCGCAGAAGAACTCAGTGATAAGTTCAGAAGAGAGTGGCTTCTTGCCACCGGGTTCATTGGTTGCGATGAAACAAGCATCCGCAACGCTCTTTCGGTGAAGGAAGTTGGACAAGGTGTTGTGCTCCTTATAGGTAGGCGATACTGTTTTCTTTACTGTAATGTGTTCTCATGAGTACATTCCGGAGTCTCGCGATAGACAGAATCCTCTCTCTCCTGCAAGGAAACTCGGTTTTTGTACGCTGAAATTGCACGTTTTTTGCGACTCTGTAGTAAGAAATGAGGCACTGAGACCACTGTGAGCCCCGCGACTCGCCCCGAAAAAATGTTGAATAGTTCAGTGTTTGAGCGGAATCCCTCTACGTTTCATCATAGAAGATGTTCCCTCACAAGATACGACCGCTTCCATTGGATTATTCTGTAACTTACATTTTCTGGTGATGAGTTAAGACAGTTCTTACTGTATAATTTGTATAACAATTGCAAAACAGACGCTAGGGTACAATCATTCAGGTGGCGTCGAAGAGTCCGTTCTTTCTCGTCCAGGGGAACACAGACTAAAACTGCTCAACCGGAAAGGTTTCATAAAAGTGGCTTTTCATTGCGGTGCTTCTTTGGTTCCTATATACACATTTGGAGAAACCGAAACCTATTCGCAGGTGAGCGTTTTGGTACTATGTTGGTGTGACTGCAGAAGAAGTATTTGTGAAAAAAGAGATTCAGGAAAAAGTGTTCCAAAAAATCTTTTGCATTTCAGCTCGACTATCCAGAAGGTTCGCTGGCGTACAAGTTGCAGATATTGCTTAAAAAGACTATAGGAACACCTTTGCCAATTTTCAATGGGAGAGGATTATCACAGGTGACAACAAGTACATAGCTCTGCAGTGTACTGCAGTTAAAAGAGAATGTCTCGAGTGTCACCTCCAGATGTCTACGCTGGCTCACTTAGTCTTAACACTACAATGAGCTGTTTTGTTATGATAACTGCTGTTTAACGCCGCAGTACGCGTTCCGAATGTTATCACAAGAATGCTGAGTTGTGGGCAAAAGTCGTGCCCCAGGCGGGAGTCGAACCCGCACCTCACGCTTTCCGGGCGAGTGCGCTATCCGTTACGCCACCAGGGCCGCTTTTACCCTCTCAGCTTAACGGCTTTTATGCCGTAGCCTATCAGCACTCACACGTTTAACTTGGTGAGCCGGTCAGCCGTAATCGATGGGATATCGGCATGAAACCGCGAGGCCTAAGGCTTTAGATGTTTTTGAAGCTGTTTTGTTATGATAACTGCTGTTTAGCGCCGCAGTACGCGTTCCGAATGTTATCACAAGAATGCTGAGTTAGGCTACGGCATAAAAAGCCGTTAAGCTGAGAGGGTAAAAGCGGCCCTGGTGGCGTAACGGATAGCGCACTCGCCCGGAAAGCGTGAGGTGCGGGTTCGACTCCCGCCTGGGGCACGACTTTTGCCCACAACTCAGCATTCTTGTGATAACTCAATAGCACTAGCCAACAGAGACATGACCTGGAATTTCCATTACGTTGAAGCACGGGTCCTGTGATACGTGCGATGCTTATTGAAAATTCAGTCATTTGGTAGCTCATACCTATTGTCGTGCAGTATCGGTGCTTTCACTTACTTGTAGCTTGCACTTGAGTAACTGCTAGAAGGTGCCATAGGTGCCCGAAGGTTTTTCAGACGAATCGTGCCTTTATACGGGTAGCTCTCATAATCGAGATGATACTTAAGACTTCTGATCAGATAGGAACTAGGTCAGGAAGGTCTTAATCGGAAGAATGTGCAATAGGAGCTACTCGTTCTTCTACCTAACATTTTGCATGGAGACCAGCAATGTCTAACTACGAGACGAGTGGCTGATTCCTAAAATCACAATGAGAACGGCTAAGAAAGCTAACGCTCACAGCAAGAGGTGCGCATTAAGCAAGTGTGACGCAAGATTTGCGGAAAAGTTACTTGCTTTAATCGCTTATTTTGAAGGTATTTTGAAGTTCAGTGTGCTTCTCATTCTTTAGTACACACTGCTTTTCTTTTTCTTTACTTCTTTCATTTCCCTGCAGATCTTCCGATTTATGACGCTTCCAAATTGTTACATGATGCATCACATATTCAGAAGAAAGCATCCAGTTCCGTGGTAAAGGGACCTCTTGAAATTCTCTTCTAGTAATGCACTGCACTCTTAAAGACAGCCCGCGCGCTCAGACTAGTACCATGGTCCGTCTTCCTTGTGCAAGTATAGAAAAAACAGCCCGAAGCTAGAGAACATGTGCGGCCCTCTGGATTCGTGCTGACAGGCGAAGCTGAGAAGCGCAGCTACAGCGATGTAAGTTCTAGTTCAAACGCCTGCTTCAGTTAGACCCTTACTTGCTAGATGTCCTCCGACGGAGGCCACTCAGTTGTTCTTAGTCGGGGCGGCGGGCATTGCTAATGCCCATGGATAATTCTGCTCCCCTTTATTACAGTTTACTCATTGGAGGTATATACATTCATTCTAAACTCGTTTCAGCGAGGTGAACGCGTAACAAGGCATCGAGTGCGCCATTTTCGTGACGTCAACCTCGACGGCCAAAACGATACGGTAAATCGCCAAATTCAGCACAACGCGTTAGCATAAAAGCCTTTACCTTCATAAGAGTTTTTTCCTCTGCGTTTTTGTTGTTTTCTTTTTGTATTTTTTTTTGCACTGGATGATATCAACTACTGCGAGATGTGATAGAGAGATTTGTGAGCTAGGGGTTGCACAGAGACCGCAGGGAGGTGTGACTGTGAGGGAGCGATTTTGTTTATGTTGTTCTGGAGGACGCTTCTTGCCTGTTTTCTTCTTTGGGAGATTACTTATCAGCTACTGTTTCATAATTGGAAAGCAGCTATCCATGAGACTTTTATCGCGGGAGCTGTCTTTAAGAAGTATCGAAATTGTTTTTGTCGCGCACCCTGAATGCTTTGGCCGTAATCTTGTGTCGTTTGTTTTAAGGTAAGTCTTTAGTATAATATCAGTGAACTTCGGATTTCTGCCTCATCGGACGAAGACTGACACAGTTATTGGAGCGCCAATAGACGTTCCGAAGAAGCTCGAACCGACTGATGAAGAAGTGAATAGGCTCCATCGTCAGTACTGCGACGCCTTAACAGATCTCTT